ATATTTTATAACAGTTTTTTGAAACAGCCAGGAACATTTTGACTTCAGTGGCCGGTAGCGTCCATGGTTTGATTCTGCATGTTATCCCTCGTTGTTGTACAAAATGTTGAGAAGCATAAAGAAATCCACGATATTATTTGCAAGTGTTGTAGAAATTCTATTAAAAGTCGAAGGGACAAATTATTTTTGTAAGAAATCTGAAATTTGTAAGAAATCTGCGACTTTTAAGTCGCAACATTTTACACAGATACAACTCCCGACATAAAAAGTCAAGGCTATAGACCATACCCTTTTACAAGGTATGTATCAAAACAAAATATCGCGGATTATAATGGCGAAATTGGTTACATAAACTAGGTATATGTTGCGTAGCTTAGAGAAAACGTTGCAGTTTCCTAAGTAAAACTGGACTTTTACGACTGAAGTGTTACAAACGACTCGTGAGGTTCTACTAGCCAAGCCGCAACATTTTATACAATTTGGACATACGAGTCTTGAGGATGCGACATTTTGTAAACTGACAGTGAAATTCCTCGAGGCTTAAAAATAAAAACTATCAGCCACCATAGAAATATATATCATACTGATTTATCATAACAGATGTTTAAAACTTGTTGCTGCTCTCTTTACATATAAATTATAAATGTATAAATGATGCAAATATTTATGATCATGCAATTTTCGGGGAAAAATACATTTAATTTAGTTTCGTGAAGTAGCGTTTTTTTAGAAGAGCATATTGTTGTTTTGAAGATTGTTTATTTCGGATTGTTTGCATTTGGTTGATATTAATTGTGGTGGTCGAAATTGATCTAAGTTAATTGGTTGTATGTATTTTGTTGTTGTTAGCTGTATTGTATTAAGTTGTTGAGTTTTATTTGTTTGGTTAGATATATTTGGTTGATATTGGTTGAGTTGTGCTGGTCATGATTATCATAGTTGATGCTTTGATTTTGAAAATATCTGTAAATATTCAAATTTGGTTGTTTTGGTTTAACCTGTTTTGTGATTTGTGATGATTATTTAATGTTTTTGGTTGAATGTGTTTTACACTGTATCTGAGAGTTAATAATTCAATTTTGTGTTCTTCATTTTGTGCCGATTTTATTGTTTTGTTTGATCATAAGTTGTTTAAAGCTTGGACCAAGTATTGTTTGGTATAAAATGCTCATACCTGCAAAGATATTTTGTATAACTGGTAAATAAATCACACTCGCTAGGGCTTTCACAGAAGCGGTTGATCCATCGCAGCGGCGGTGCAGTATTCGTCAAAGAAGCGGTGGATAAAATATGGCCGTTTGCTGTGTTCAGTTGGTTTTTTGACTGAACTTTGTTTTATTTTTTATGTTTTACAGGAAACACCCAGTGAGACAGGAACCAAATATGTTCTCTTCCAACTTACACGCACACGATATAATTCTTTGCCATTTATGCAATCATTTCTGTACAGTTTGACGAGGGGACGCCACTTTTGCCTAACTTTGTGTAAAACACATACAAATGTGTGCGAAACGACCCCTTAATACACCGACATTGCATCGTATGAATTATAATTACATAAACCAACCATATTTTGGATTTTCTTGAAATTGTAATCTGTTTATTGAATAAATGAAAACAAAATGTTTCGATGCAGACGGCGGTTGATTCGATTGCTACGCAATTTTAAATTGAGTTAAACCAATTTCTAATTTTGAAATCAGAGAAACGTATTTATTTGGTGTTGAAAACAATATAATAGATGTCCGAGTTCCGCTTCCATTTTCACTCGACAATTGAAAGTTCCTTTTGCGTGCATAATAATAGAATAGTCCACATTCAACTTGAGACTTAAAAGACCGTAAGTACCGGGTCCAACAATGTTTTGTCATACAAACATATAAAAGAGGTACTTGTAAAGTTAAACACTTTATGCTTCTTGAATACGTAGAACAATCTCAGTTTTGAATGTGACTGTGTTCTGATATTCTGTTCCAGCTATGTTATATTATCATATTGAGGAGAGCAATTTATATAATTATCTTAATAGCGGAAGTGTTACTTGAAGTTTCATGGAATTGAATTTTTAATTATTTATTTATTTTCTTTGGAAAATATTTAAGAAGTATATGTACCACTACTCTGGTTATTATTTATAGGTTCTTCTCACCTTGATTAGGGATCTCTTTAATAACATTAGAAAATGTATTCAAAATTGCGAGTGATGACCGTACGATAAATGATATTCTTTTAACTGAATATATATCACAGTTCTTCTGCATCATTTGTCTAGTATTATATAGAAGAAATCAAATCATATATGTAGCTTTCCATGTTGTATTTACATTTAATGAGTACAAGTGAGTGTTTTTGGATATTTGCAATATTTCGGTATTAAGTGTTTTAATCATTGATGAAAGAATTATGTTTAAATCATTTCAGGATGTAATACCGCAACACAAGCGAATTGTCCGAATTTCCTTCCAAACTCGTACTGTAATTTAGGATCCCTGCTGTGTGAATGCCTTGCTGGGTATACAACAGCAGCAAATACCCTTGAATGCGAATACAGTAAGTTTGTTTTATTCCTTAATGAATGAATACTACGTTTAAGAAGTTTTCATTAAAGATATGTGTACAACATAGATCGTAGTGCTAAATTCATTTATGTAGAGACAAAAATTTACAATATTAATAATGAATTTAAGACCTACTTTGTCTTTTTTCATCTTAATGTGATTATAGTGATGAAAATTGTCAGTAAAATATTAACAGGATTACGTGGAAAAAGTCAGTTTTGCAATTTTTTGGTCAGTCAAATTTTAGTATGTAACTCAGGTTTTTCAGTTACTCGGGATTTGAAAAATATTTTATACTAGTATCGTGGTATATCAAGTTTAGTTAAGGACTTATATATTAAATGTGTAGATTGTGGAGATCTGACTGACCCAGACAATAGCGCAGTTAGCACACCAGCCGGTACACATACTGGTGATGCTGCACAATACACGTGTGTTAACACATTCAAGGTTGTTGGCACGGCAACGAGAACTTGTCAGCAAGATACTGGTTGGGATGGTGCTGAACCAACATGTGAACCAGGTGGGTGATTGTCTTTTAAAATGAATCTTCATTATTTCATTTCACTGCTTTTAAAAGCTACTTATTTAACACTTTATCTTTAAACAAACGGTATTCTTACAATACTTTTGATGTTTGCGAGCCTAATCAGGATTATTCAAAATGACTTGAGGCTCGTTTTTGTAAGGATAATTATCACGTAAATTTGCCTGCGATGTTTCATACACAACTGTAATTACATAAATGGCTCATCTGTCCGTTTGTCCGTCCGTCACCAAACTTGGCCGGACTACTCCTCATAAACTACTGGTGCAATTTTATTCAAACTTTACAGGAACGATCAGTGCTAAGTCTAGTTGTGCATTTTGTCAGTATTTCCGGTTCAATGATTTTTGTCAGAGTTACGGCCCTTTAATAATTTTTATTTTTAAAATTTGCCTGCTCAACAAACATATTCCAATGCAATAACATAGCAAATGGAAGATGTGAGGCGTTTACATCTTGCCAATGTAATGCCGGGTATGAAGATGACGGAACGGGATTAGCATGTTCTGGTAAACAATTCATGAAACACATTACTTGTACGAATTTATAAAACACCAGATACATCTAAATCTAGTAAATGTAGTTAATAAATTACATAACTATTACTATGAAAAAAATATTGAGAAATTAGTATGCAAATTAATCTTTTAACGTTGTATGGTCAAATGTTGTATTGTCAAATGGTAGTTGTGAAGAATATTGTGATGTTAAGTATAACAATGACTTGGTTTTCAGAGATAAACGGGTGTGCTACCGACCCGTGCCAAAATGGGGCTACCTGTGTCGATCAAATAGCATCCTATACTTGCAACTGTGTTGCCGGGTATGACGGCATTTATTGCGAAAACAGTGAGTGTTATTTTCATAGGATTATATAAAAAGATGTTTCTTGTTTCTTTCGTTAATAAGAGCTGTTGCAAATAAGAATAATAGTACCACATAGTTTAGATCTTCACGTGATTGTGTTTTGATCCTACTGGCTCGAGTTCTACATTAACAAATAGTCCGCTGATTATGACATTCAATTTAATTTCAAGCCTCTCCCTTACTTTTCATCTTGATTTTCATTTTCTGTTCTTACGGTTATCAAAACTATAACAAAGTTTTTAACTTTTTAATGCTTCATGACATGAATGGCATATGATAGGTATATCCAATTCCCTTTAACAAACATATTTTATTAGTTCTCTACAATTTTATATGTAAACCTCATTTTTCATTTAAAGCTTGAAATAGAATTTAAAAATAGAAATATGTATACAACGAAATAATGTATTATAGATATCAATGAATGTGCTGGAAGCCCATGTCAAAATGGCGGTGTATGCACAGATGGAATTAACCAGTACACGTGCGCATGTGTACCTGGTTATGATGGTGGTGACTGTCAAAATAGTAAGTATATTACTAGTATATTTAAATCCATCAAAATAGATGACCATCAAAATAGTAAGTATATTACTTGTACATTTATATCTATATGTATTTATTCATGATTAGCATTTAATAATGCAATAGGTGCGTCCGCTCTTGTAAATTAACATGATTAAGATGGTGTCTTGTATTGCGTAGGGCTAAATCTTTGTGCCGTAAAGACGAAATGTAAGTGCATAATGTACATTACAAAATAAACGGCTACTAATATAATAGTGTCAGTAATATTTAATTTGACAATGAGTATGAAGGTTGGGTGGTAACATAGAACCTTTTTCCTTGAGAGATATTGTAGTATTCAGATTGGAATACCTAATGTATTCGCTAGGTGATATTAAAGTCGGACACTGTGCGCATTGTTTCACAATGTAAATGTTTCCCCAACAATGCAAACTTTTCCCCAACAATGTAATCGCTTCTCAACTCGTTAATTATTTCAACGCCTTGTTTTAATTTCAGAAATTGACAAGTGTACACCAAATCAATGCCAAAACAGTGGAACTTGTGTAGATGGCATCAATGATTACACCTGTACTTGTCTTCCCGGGTATAACGGAGACAATTGTGAAAATAGTAAGATAAATTGGTTTTGGTAATGTTCATAACCTTAGTGTTGAACTAATGCAAAGAATTGGTTTTAGCTCTATCAGCCAAAATTGCAATTTGAAGTTTACTAAGATGTTTTGTCACCGACGGATAATTGCTTTCAGGTGCTTCTGACATTGAAAATTTTGACTGCAGTTTGATTTGTAAAAGTATTTTCAGAGAGTATCAAACAAATGCTGCACTTTTATCTAAGAAGGTGGTTTTATATTATTTTATGTAGATCTTTGTGGAACTGCTATATTACATTTCGAAATGTGTTTTATTTTACATTTACGCTCTAAGCTTGTAATGATAGTGCACATTATGTATGTGTATCTACGAAGAAATGCCCCATTCCAGATAAATTTGGAAAAGTGTTCACTCCAACTTAGAATGATTTTTCCCATCATTTGTATGACATTTTTGTTGCTTATTGATTTACAGATATTGACGAGTGCACACCGGATCAATGTCAAAATGGCGCTACATGTGTTGACGGTATTAATGCATACACATGTACTTGTGTTGCCGGATATGAAGGGAACAACTGTCAAACCAGTGAGTGAATTATAACCTAATCAGACTAAAGTATCCTTTTGTAATCATTCACTTGCTGTACTTTGTCATTATTTTACTTACAGTCTTTTCGTCCAAAAGAGTTCGCTATATAATCATGAAAGACATGTGCAGTTTACTGGTGATTGTCAAAGCCCAGCTTTGGATAAATTAGTACAAAGAGTAAACCATTCAAAAGATAGTTATCAGTAGTGCCTGTCTTAAAATTCAGAAACTTTTTAACTTAGTGAAGAAGTATTTATAATTAAACTTAAAATTATAGTACAATGTAAATGAAAATATAAAATCTTTACACAGTATCCACATGAAGGTCTTGAATAATAAAAGATATAATAATTATAATACTTCGCTTTTCTTTACATTTGAATGCAAATAGTGTGATACCCTTAGCCATAAGTAACATGTGGCCATTAAAATAAAAAATGAGAAGAATAAGCATATCTATCTTATATCTTGGAAAAATAGTAACAAAGTAATGCAGATTTCAGAACACTGAATACAGTAATGATAGCTTATAAGGAATTATACGGAAAGTTAATTGAGCCTCTTGTAGGAATATTACTAGTTTACGTTGCCATTTTATTTCAATATCTATTATTCAAAGAAAATTTTGATTTTCTATTTGCTTTTCAGATATCAATGAGTGTATTGGAAATGTCTGTCAAAATGGAGCCACTTGTGTCGACGGTATTAATCAGTACACATGTACATGTGTGGCGGGGTATGACGCAAATTTCTGTCAAAACAGTAAGTTGACTTGTACAGACTCATACAAACCGACTGTAATTCTCTTGTAATTTTGTTATGATAAATGTTTTCGAGTTTCACTTTGTTTCCAAATTATTATTCTTCACAACAGCAGGTGTCTGTCCTATCAGGGTTTAACGTTGAAAATAAGAATGAATCGAAGAAAAAATGGCGGCCATTTTATTTCACTTTATTTAGGAAATAGACCACGTGACCTCTTAAAAAATACTGTTACCTATGTAACAGTACAAAATTCTTAGTCACGTGGTACACTTGCATTAACAGTAAAAATAACTTCCAGAGGCCTATGGGAAATTAGCATTACGAAAAAAGTGAAGGGTAATAATAAGTAATGTCATTGTAAAATTTAATGTCAATTGATATTTATTATTTATGTTTTACATTTATTATGTTGGTTTGTAACTTCAACTCGTGTATTGATATACTAATAGATAAGATTTTTACGACAAATAAAAGTTGTGGTTAAATTGTCAATAAATGACCTTATTTGTATTTAAACATATTATAATTATAAAAGAAACACAATTTTCGTAACAACATAAAAGTTATAAGACATTTAACGACTCTCGCGAATTCGTGATTTCTCGTGCATATGTTCTCAAGAGCCGCTAAAATTAAACTGTTGTCCTGTAGTGTATGTTTCTGTCCTCATCTTTGAGTAAAAAATATCGCAAGAATTTATTTTAATCTATGAAACTCTTACTGAATATGAATAAAATAATGTAAACATTATGTACAGGAAACTGCATTCCCTATTACAGGTAAAGTTAGTCCTTTGTTAGAAAAAAAAAACTGCTAGATTTTAATGATACTGTGTATGGTCTCCTTGTGTAAAATTTTAAACTTAACATTTGTACGAAGTCGAAATTTGTTGATGTTTTCAAATATCAAATTTGAGCATCATAAAGCTTTATGTATCAACACTTTAGTAAAATTTATATATAAAAGATAGAATGAATACTGTATTTGATGATTGATTGTTAACATAATTTTAATAAAGTTTATGATATAGTCTAGTTTCAAATATCGTTTATTTGTTAATTGTTATATATTATAACTTCAACCTTCCGTGTAATGTGTTTTTGTTAAGCGATAAAACCCATTTACTAACCGATACAATCAATAATGATCATGTACATGACATATTTTCAAATGGAATATAGTTTCAACTAAATGAATATTATCAATTATGTAATAATATCAAAGTCATATCTATCATTCATAAGAATGCATATATATTGTGTGTTTAAAATGTTTTGGAACAAAATATTTCAATTTATGTCGCATGTTCATTTTGTTGTTTTCGTCACTGTGTCATTTTTTCCGAGACTTAGTACTAGTATTGTAATTTCTTTTACTTTCATCATATGTGTTGCCTTTTTGTCATATATTACAAACCATGCTTAAGGTGAATCGACAAGTAAAATGTTATGGTTAGTAAATGATTATAGGGCATTTCTTTTAAAAATGCATTGAAATATTATACAGTATCGTCTACTTGCAAGAAGATCAGTTGTATATTTTTATGCATTGAGCAATTGTTGTCGGTAATTATTTTAATGATAGAACATTAAAAAATATGATTTACGTACTGAGCGTGTTTTTTTTTGGTTACATGATGGTCATTATGATGACAATGAAAACTTCAATATAGAAATATGATTTCAGATATAGACGAATGTGCTGCTGATCCGTGTACAAATGGAGGAACATGTGTGGACAAGATAAATGATTACACGTGTAATTGTGTCGCAGGTTACACAGACAAAACATGTGCTACCAGTAAGTATGCTTGGTGTTTAAAAATGAAGAAATATTACACAAGATGTATGCAAGACATTTAGTTAAAATTTATTCCAAATTTGTATAATTGTTTGTAAATTTTTCATCATCTTATAGAATAGATTTATAATAATATCATGCGAACCAATCTTGAATATTTTCAGACATTTAATAAATCAGAAAAAGAAATACGTCAACATACTAATTATGTAGCTAGAACATTGCATTCTCTGACGCCAATGTGAACTTTATTCTGCTATGTGCACATTCATATAATTTCTATTGTAGATTTTAAATTTTTGGATAAAGTATAAATTATGTGGTGTTTTTGTGTATGTGCTTCGGCTGTGCGACGCTTGCATTTTGTTTTGTGAAAAGTAACAGCATGTCATTTGTAACATTTTAGATATTGATGATTGTGCTACATCACCTTGTCAGAATGTTGGTACATGCCAAGATGCTGTCAATGACTATACCTGTGTTTGTGCGGCAGGTTATACTGACAAAAACTGCCAAACCAGTGAGTAACCAATTTAAAACCAATTTGTGAATAAGTTAAGACAATTTAAATATCATACTGATACATCGTCAATTTTTGTCAATGATATGAAATTTAAATATGAGAATCTTCTATTCCAAACCGATTTTGATTTTTTTTGTGAAACACCTAAATAGAACATTACAATTGATATGTGAATTAGTGAAATCAAGTTAATATCACACTTGCCAATTGGCAATTATCATTAATGGTATAAAAATTTAACCATAAGAACGATTATAATACGACTGAATCACCTGTGCTGAATTATCTTCAATGCCATGTTTTCCGATTGTCATTCTAAATGAAAGCTAAATAGCAAACCTTTGTAAGCTTATATACCAGTCTACATGATTAAAATGTTTGTAAATCAGCATATTCTATATTAAAGCATATTACATTCTCAAAATGTTCGTACATATTTGTTGCCTTTGAAGACTTATTTACGCGAATGCTGAATGAAAATTAGTAAAATGCATAATTCAACTGTTTCAGATATCAACGAGTGTGAAACACATGCATGTAACAATGGAGCTACATGTGTTGACCGAGTTAATGCTTATGAATGTGTATGTACCGCAGGCTGGGAAGGCACCTTCTGTACTTCAAGTAAGTAACAAATAAAAAGAAGTTATAGCATGTATAATCTTCTAAGTGCTAATATTAATACATTTTCCACCTGAACAGGAGTGTGATCACGTTGCACGGCTTTGTGATCGGTTTAGGCTCTATTATATTAAATGTTCGAATCTAATATTTTGTCAGTTCTGAGTTCGAACCAGAACACGTCTTGGACGCACCTTAATTGATTTGCCATTTCATTCTTAGGAATATGTAAGATAATAATATAAGATATACCTTTAGAAATCTGAGGAAAAAAACACGTTAATTGCCCATATTTTTTGCTTTTATTAAAGTTATGGTTAATGACAGGGGGATACTGCATACTATATTTCAAGGCGAATCAATGTGTTTTTGGTGTACAGTCTCGCGGAACATAGCGTTGATTTTGTTTTATTTTCAATTTTGAGAGTTTTTATTGCAGGATCTCACCTGGAATCTTTTTTTTTCTTTTATTTTGCATTTTAAAGCTTATTTGCTTTTAAGAATCTCCCTTTTCCAGACTGTGTAGATTGTAAATAAATAAACACAACAATAACAATGTAGCATGTCATTACAAACAGATATAGACGAATGTGAAACTAACCAGTGTCAAAATGGAGCTATTTGTGTTGATGGTCTAGACAGCTATACATGCGACTGTGTCGAAGGTTATAATGGAATATTTTGTCAGAACAGTAAGTACATGTATATTTGGATTGTATAACATTTAAAAGTGCTTGCAGTGATAATGATAAGTCTCTGATACAAGTCGTACGGAAAATAATCATCTTACTGGTATATTTATATTCTTCAAGTGAAAATTCCGATATCCTTAAATTAATTTTTTTCTTAAATTTCTGGCTTTTTTCGTGTGTGAAACACTGGTTACCTATATTGTTAATACGTATCGTAAGGGAAACACTGGTACCCTATGTTTATACATCTCTTGGTGACACTGTTTACCTATATCAATACTTTTTTATTGATACATTGGGTACCTGTCTTATCAATACGTTTTCATAGTGAAATATAGATTACCAGTATTATTAATACGTTTCCTGAATGAAACACAGATTACCTATATTAATAATACGTTTCCCTAGTGAAACACAGATTACCTATATTTAATACTTTTCCTTAGTGAAACACTGGTTACCTATATTAATAATACGTTTCCTTAGTGCAACACTTGTTACATACAATGTATATAATTAATACTTTTCCTTAGTGAAACACTTGTTACCTATATTATTAATATGTTTTCAAAGTGAAATACAGATTACCTATATTATTAATACGTTTTCTTAGTGAAACACAGATTACTTATTTTGTCAATATGTTTCCTTAGTTAAACACAGGTAACATATATTATTAATACGTTTCCTTAGTGAAACACTGGTTACATATATTATTTAATACATTTTCTTAATGAAACACTAGTAACCTATGTTATTAATACGTTTTCTTAGTAAAACACTGGTTTCCTATATAATTATTAATACTTTACTTAGTAAAACACTGGTTACATATATAATTAATACATGGCTTTACCTATTTTATTTATACGTTTCCTTTAGTGAAACACAGATTACTTATATTATTAATATGTTTCCTTAATGAAACACAGATAACTTATATCATTAATACGTTTCCTTAGTGAAACACAGAATACTTATATTATTAATACGTTTTCTTAGTGAAACACTAGTGACCTATATTATTAATACGTTTTCTTACAGAAACATTTGTTACCTATATTATTAATACGTTTTCTTAGTGAAAGACATAAATTATTGCATATATTATTAATACGTTTTCTTAGTGAAACACTAGTTTCATATGTTATTAATACGTTTTCTTAGTGAAACACTGGTTTCCTATATTATTAATACGTTTCCTTAGTAAAACACTGGTTACATATATTATTAATTCATTTTTTAATGAAACACTAGTTACCTATATTATTAATTCGTTTATTTAATGAAACACAGATTACCTATATTATTAATACGTTTCCTATGTGTTACACTGGTTACCTATATTATTATTACGTTTTCTTAGTGAAACACTGGTTACCAATATTATTAATACGTTTCCTTAGTGAAACACTGATTACCTATATCATCAATACGTTTCCTTAATAAAACACAGATAACTTATATTATTAATACGTTTCCTTTATGAAACACAGATTACCTATATTATTAATACGTTCCCTTCGAAAAACACTATTTTCCTATTTTATTAATACTTTTCCTTAGTGAAACACAGATTACTTATATTATTAATACGTTTCCTTAATGAGACAAAGATTACCTATTTATTAATACGTTCCTCAGAAAAACACTGGTTTCCTATTTTATTCATACGTTTCCTTACTAAAACACATATTACTTATAATATTAATACGTTTCCTTAATGAAACACAGATTTCCTATTGTATTAATACGTTTTCTTAGTGAAACACAGATTACTTATTTTAAAAACACGTTTCCTAAATAAAACACTGGTTACCTATATTATTAATACGTTTTCTTAGTGAATCACAGATTACCTATATCATTAATATGTTTCCTTAGTGAAACACAGATTACCTATATTATTAATATTTTTTCTTAGTGAATCACAGATTACCTATGTTATCAATACCTTTCCTTAGTGAAATACAGATTACTTATATTATTAATACGTTTCCTAAGTGAAACACAGATAATTATATTTTTAATACGTTACCTAAGTAAAACACTGTTTAAACTATATTATTAATACGTTTCCTTTATGAAACACAGATTACTTATATTATTAATATGTTTGTTTCCTTAATGAAACACAGATTACCTATATTATTAATATGTTTCCTCAGTAAAACACAGATTACTTATATTATTAATACGCTTTCTGAGTGAAACACTAGTGACATATTTTATTTATACGTTTTCTTACTGAAACACTGGTTACCTATATTATCAATACGTTTCTTTAGTAAAACACTGGCTACCTATATGATTAATACGTATCCTTAGTGCAAAACTGGTTATCTACAATGTAAATAAGTAATACGTTTCTTAGGGAAAAATTGATTACCTATATCATTAATACGTTTTCTTAGTGAAACACTTGTTACCTATATTATTTAAACGTTTTCTTAGTGAAACACTTGTTACCTATATTATTTAAACGTTTTCTTAGTGAAACACTTGTTACCTATATTATTTAAACGTTTTCTTAGCGAAACACGTGTTACCTATATTATTTAAACGTTTTCTTAGCGAAACACTGGTTACCTATATCATTAATACGTTTTCTTAGTGAAACACTTGTTACCTATATTATTTAAACGTTTTCTTAGTGAAACACTTGTTACCTATATTATTTAAACGTTTTCTTAGTGAAACACTTGTTACCTATATTATTTAAACGTTTTCTTAGCGAAACACGTGTTACCTATATTATTTAAACGTTTTCTTAGCGAAACACTGGTTACCTATATCATTAATACGTTTTCTTAGTGAAACACTTGTTACCTATATTATTTAAACGTTTTCTTAGTGAAACACTTGTTACCTATATTATTTAAACGTTTTCTTAGCGAAACACTGGTTACCTATTTCATTAATACGTTTTCTGAATGACACACTGGTTACCTATATTTTATATTTACTTAGTTAAACACTGGCCACATATATTATATCTTTTCTTAATGAAACACTGGTTACGATATATTCATTTATTTACTGGTGCCCAGATGAAAGATCATAGTGAAGGAACTGACATTCTACTTGGCAAACGATGAGTTATTAAATACATCTACTGTGTTATTATTTTTATTCTATATATAGACATAAATGAATGTGTTGATCATGCGTGTGATAATGGCGCTACATGTGTTGACGGGATCAATCAATATACATGCACGTGTGTTGCCGGGTATACGGGGGAATTCTGTGCAACAAGTTAGTATACGTAACATTAAAAGTTCAAGTGACTATTAACAAAGTAAAGAGGAAAATACACGTGATATATGTATGTGATATAATACATGTTTCGTTTATATTAATTTTAAACCCATGTGTAATCAGGTTAAATCTTTTTGGAAGTTAATGCAAAATTAAAATGGTATTTTGAGTAAACTGTATTAACCTCCCATGTAACTATTTGCTGAACGATGTTATTCATTCATAAATTGAAGCGATTGGATTTTATAAGTTTTTGTTCAGTATTATTTGCTGCATTTCTTACATTTATTTATCTTTAAAGCTACTTTTTTGAGACAGTATGTATCTCACATGTTAAAATACTTTATAAAAACATTTTTATCATTTCGTAATTTTTATTATTTTGACTTTAAAGATATACTATGCTCATTTTTGAGTAACATATTTTTATCTTAGAAATGTATTGAAATTCATGAAATTCTTACTGAATATGTTTAATTTGAATAAAATAATGAATAAATTATGTATATAGAGAGCTGCATTCCCTATTGCAGGTTAAGTAAAGTTGGTCTTTTCTTTAAAAAAAATGCCAGTTTTTTAAATGACACTATATATTTATATTGTGACCACTTGTAGCGTGTATAGTTCAAAACATAACATATCTACTTTAAATGAAGTCAAAACATGTTTATTTCATACATACAAAGACACCATGTAGAAATTATTAATATTTCTAAAATTCAAATTTGAGCATAGTATATCTTTAATCCACGAAAATGTGGATTTAAATGTTATTTTTTTCTTATTTATTTGATTGATTATCAACATTGATATCATTAACATTATATACAAATGAACAATAATAAAATGTCTGTAATATCGTCTACTGAACAGTTATGAAACATGATATAATGTATTACAATGTACTGTGATATAATGTTTTAAAAATCTGTTTGCAGATATTGACGAATGTGATGACCATGCTTGTTTGAATGGCGCCACGTGTGTAGACCGTGTCAATAAATACACATGTACGTGTGTTGCCGGATATACCGACACTTTTTGTCAAACAAGTGAGTTCCGCCTTGTTTTATTTTTTTTATTTTTCAATCATAATATACACACAATCAAATCAAAATTATTAAATAGATAAAGTGCAATTTCAAATCAATGCAATCAAATTGTGACAAGTATATTTGTATCTTAAGATCTTACGACGACTGCTAAGAAAAGCTTATAGTACTATAAAATGCATAATAAGTATGATAGAGACATACAAAAATAAATAGAAAGTGTATGAGAAAAGGAAAGATAAATGAGGAATAAAAAAAGAAAAGAAAAAAAGGAGAGAAAGGATAAAGGTCAGTTATGTCCCTTTAACAGGTAGCTGATAAAAATGCATTTATAATGATATTTAACAAAGCTGTAGTTAAAAAAACAAAAACTATATTATGAAAAAAAAAATAAAAAAATGGACTTAATGCGGAAAAGAATTAAGGATCTTTTCCTTTTCTATGTGTATACATGTCTAAATAAATTGTGTGGTTTAAGGTCTGTAAAATTAAGTTTCACTGAAATTTGACCATTTTTCTTAAAAAATTTGTAAATTGTCTTGTATTTACGATATTTCTTTTCCAATTCTAATCCTAAAAGAGAGAAATGGCATAAATTTTTCAAAAGTGGGTATATTTTTTTGCTATATTTCATTTTAAATATTAATTATTTACAAAGATTCAAATAACTTTATTTGTGTTCAAAGGCCTCAGGCCCAAAATACATAGCATACATACAACAATATAGTAATATGGTTGCGACACCTTAACAATGTTTATTTATGCGAAAAAAGACTAGTTGTTTATGTTATCCATTAAAACATATACATAAAACATAAGCTTCCTTAAAGTGATTATATCACGTGTACCTATTAATACATAAAAATCATGTAGTTCTTTTCCGCCAAAATACCAATTGAATAAATACTTATCAAGGATTTGTTTATATTTTTTACATATAAAGAAAGAATGGAATTCACAATCTATATTATCATTACAAGTTGTACACAGACGTTCTTCCCTTTGGATATTATTATGTCTGCCTATTTCTATACCTAATTTATGGTTGGAGCAACGAAAATTACAAAACGCCTTTTTATGTTTAAATGGTATTTCTATTAATAAGTATCGTTCAACATTTAAAGTGATTTAAATTTATTATAGTGAAAACATCTACTAGAATGCGTTATATTTTCATACCATTGTTGAGTACAACAATCAATAAGTCTTTGTTTGAAAAGTTTAAGGAACATATTCGTGTCACCAATTTCTTGAGATATCCAGACAAAACCAAAACCATATCTAAACAGTACATGTTTAACTTTGGTAACCCAACCAATTCGACATACATCGTCTAGTGACTTCAACATTAAATAACACTGTTAAGGATATCTAGATGAAGGCATGATCAGAAGTTTACAAAAATATCTTATGCAGTTTGTCATGTACGAAATACTTAAGGGCAATCTACCACATTCCCCTAAAACCATAGCTGTATTTGTAGTTTTTTAACAGATAAATGTTTTCGACAAAAATCGTTATGCACATATTCAATAGTTTGGCTATATTCAAAACCCCATATTTGTGATCCATAGCATAAAATTGGTTTAATCATATGGTCAAAAATTTTAAACAATTCATTACTTGGAAAATGACCGAAAGGTTTCTGATAATATTTTAACGATAATATTGCCTTTTGGGCTTGAGATGCCATTTTTTCCTTAGCATGAGTCCATGATGATTGAGGAGTGAAAATGAGTCCCATATACTTATACATAGATGTTATATTTAAGCTTTTACCTCGGAAATACCATTTCTCATAATGACGTAAAGGACCACCATTACGGAAAACCGTTTTGTGTTTTCACACAAGACTTTAAATCGGAATACATACATTTTAAAACCCGTAAAAAAATGCCATGAATGCCTATTTTCTGTAGTGAATCAAATAATTTTTAATGGTCAATTTTATCAAAAGCTTTTCGGAAATCGACATATAAACAATAAAAACGATTACCTTTTTTAGACAAGTATTTTTGTATCATGGCTTGTAAACAAGAAATATTATCAATAGCTGAGTAATTACACCTGTAACCTGCCTGACATTCGTCTATTTTATTATTTTCTTCAGCCCAATTATATAACCTTTTATTAACAACGCCAGAAAATATTTTATACATTGTATTTGTGATAGAAATGCCCCGATAATTGTTCGGTAAGGAAGACGACCCAGATTTGTAAACTGGACATATAATGCTTTGACCCCAAGTATTTGGAAAATATCCTGTTGTTAAAATTGTGTTAAACAGTAGTAACAAATGTTCCCCGATGTCCTGGCGTGAATATTTTAAAAATTCAGAAGGAATCCCGTCGAATCCAGAACTTTTATTATTTACAAGTTTAGAAATAACTGATTCAATTTCACATAATGTAAAAGGTAAATTTAGTGAATTCGCACTTTCATCAGAAGATACATGTTCGTTATTTACGCGTGACGGCACTTTTACCGATTGTTTGCGTCATACAATAGTTTATTGAAATAATCATACCATTCTTTAAAAGAAATGCTATTGCTTGTTATATTATTTTGTGGTTTGGCTGATTTCAATTGTTTCCAAAAAGAAATGGAATCAGTGCTGTTCACTAAGTTATATCTATTTTTACTTTGGCATTCGAATTTCTTTTTATCACAGCATACTTTAAATTCATTACGACTAGTTTTATATAATCTCAAATCATTTTGTGTATTTGTGTTACGAAAATGACGTAATAATTGATATTTTCGTTTCTTTAATCTAGAACATTCATCATCCCACCATGCAGGTTGATTAGAACTAAATTTAAACTTAATTCTCATACATTCACCAGCTTCATGATAAATCTGAGTTAATAAATTTATATACTCATCAATGTTTTCGTTAAGCTTTTGTATTAATGTATCATTTTTCTCATGCAAAAGGTTTCGTAAACTATTCACGAAAATTTCATTATAATTATTTTTCCAGCGGAAGTTTATCATATTAATATTAGTACACGTGTTTGTTTGATAAAGTGTATCTTGCACAGGTATTTTTATCCTAAATTCTAAATTGCAACAGATAGGAAAATGGTCTGAATCGTCTTTATCTAAGACTTTAAAATATTTAACATACTGAAAAAAATTTGTTGAAACAATAACATAATCTACAACAATAACTCCGTCGTTAGAATAACATGTATATTCTCTTTTAATATCACCATGACACCTGCCATTTAATAAGTGAACATCAATAATGCAACAAAAATTTACTAAATCTTTACCAAAATTATTCCCTCTTATAATATCTTTATTTTGACGTGGAATTTCAAAATAGCTACCTTCATAATCGACATTACCAAAAACATAATGAAGATCATCGTTAGGAATGAAATCTAAAAAATCTTGGGTCCTAGCATTGAAATCTCCGCCAAAAAATAGGTCAACCTCTGGAAAATCAAACTTAATTTTCTCAATATTATTATACATTTGTAAAACGCCATTTTTCTCAAGCATTCTATCATAGTACACTGAGTTTTCAGGTGATATGTATGTAAAATATATAATGATATCGTTACAATGATAAAGTTCTGAGAAGTTAATCAACAAAACAACACAATTCTCAAATTCTGAAAAGATATGATGAACTTTGCCCTTTTTATAGATTATATTGCTTATGAAAACACTTGCACCACCACTGTTACGCTTGGCATTTGGTAACATGCTTCTTACATAATCAAAATGAGTATGTGAACTTAAAAAAAATTCATATTCCCCCTTAAATTTACTCCAAGTTTCACATAAGCAAAAATGTCAAATGAACTGAGAAAACACTTTAAATCAATATTGTCACAGTAATCCGCCGATATTCCACGATAGTATTTTTATGTTTACAGTTCCAGGTGAGTGATTATTTGGTATGCCTTGGCCGCCCTGCTATTCTATTGTCGAATCAGAAAGATACTCATCCTGTGACGTTTGTCGTGTTGATGTTATTGGCTGCCTCAAGTCAGCTGATACGTCACGTGGTTGTGTTTCACTTCTTCCCGCTTGATTTGTAACCAATCGGCTTACGTTCCCGGTGTTTACTTGTTCATGTTGTGTTGCCAACAAAAACAATACATTCATTGTGATCATCGTATCTATAAATGGAGTCGTTAACAAAAAGTTTGTCGTATCGAAGTACTGCATAGTGACCTTTTTGTCTATCCTGTACCATTTTTTCACCAAGGATTCTTCTGTTACAGTGTTATGTTTACCGAAATACACCTGTCTTAAGCTTACCTTTAGAGAATATATATATTTGAATTTTGTTCCAGAAAACGTGTGTTAATAGACATTTCCATATTAAATGTTCAATAGATTCTATCTACATAACATAGAACGAAATTCACACACATTTCTAGATGATAATTTGCAGATATTTATTTGTTAGGACTAAACGCATTAAAATTTGTACTGAAAATTGGTGTCGATAGTAGACTTAAAAGGTATATGAAATACTGGTTTCCAATCTATTTCATTGTCATTAAATATGTTTTCCCATTTGATGGATGCAGTTGGTTTTACAACAGTTATTGCATTCATTTAAAATTGATACAACAGCTGATATGATGGCATTGTTCTTTTTAGTTTTTCTATTAGAACATCTTTATTCCAGAGAAATTGGGTTGAAATATTTTCTTTAAGGCTGTTTGGGAAAGCTGAGATTAATTGATGATATTTTAACTAATCTTGTGCATCAAGACTTTTAATTTGTTTTGGTGTTTCAAATTTATGAAAGGCCTTTGTACGAAACTAAAAATGTTGATCTTTATCATTTATACCTTTATCATATCATTTTTTCCAGTAAATTGTATTGTGTTGCAATTTTATCACAGTATTGTTCCAAATGATATGTTTTCTAACTTCATTTCCATTTATATTTGAGGATTGCTTTTACTACAGAAATCACTGGAATTAAGATATCTCTTAGAAATGTATTTATTTTACAGATTCTTGAAAC